ATTTTGTAGTTTGTTAGTTTGAGCCTGTTTATTGTGATAAACTTATAGATAGGATATGATTGATGTTTGTGCCTGTTTGTCGAGCGCCCTTTGAGTGGTCCGAGGAGGCGCCGCTGGGCCTTTTGAGCTCGGGTGAAATTGTTCCTTATCTGCGAGCTTTAAAGATTTGTTATTTTTCTTTAAAAAAATGTTTATTTTTTCTTCATCCATAAAATTCGGGCCCTGTCCTTATAGGTTAGTTCAATCCCTTTTTTTCCTGTCATTTTTTCACACTTACGCCGCGCCGTCAACATAGAAACAACAATAATTGTACCACCAAAATGATTAAAACCTGCAAGTTTTTTAAATTGGTTTGGAAATGATCCTAAATGGTACGATGGTTTCAAGAAGTTCTTATGTGTGTTAATTTGAATTTTACCAACAATTTTCAATTGTTAATGTCTTAAGTCTAGATTTTTTTGTAAATACACCAAATTCTGGTGTTCAAGTACTCAAGAGGGTAACTATGGTCTCGGTTCTTTTTTTGACAAAATGTCTTTTGGATAAAAAGAATGATATTTTCTACACTAAAAAAAATGTTACAATTTAGCTGGTTTTTTTTGTGTATCTTTTGTTTTTTTCTTGAACAACTCAAAAAAAATGGTCGTAAATAGCTATGCGCACAAACAAAAAAATAAGAAGCAATATTTTTTCACTGCTTAAACCCGGTACCCATTGGTTTAGCCCTCCCCGGGCGGATCCCGAGCAGAGAATACAAATGATAGGCGGCAAATTTGATGAGGGAAATATATATACATCTCCCCATTTTTAATAGATGGTTTTCCGAGCGATTGCCAATGGCAACATGCTCAGCGCCAACGCGTCGAATTGCGCGCGAACCAAGGTTCTGGCAGATTGACAAAATATTTATAGGCGTTTTTAGATAGGATGTATTTCTCTTTAGTGTTAGTATCTAATGGACCCTTAACCTCATCTCGGGTCAATTGTTTTATAGTTTTTTTAACTCGGAAATGTTTAGATCAACTCGGCACCGAAGGCTGGCAATCAATTTCGTTCGCATCGCTCTTCCTAAACGACGCTGAAAAACGGTACTGTACGAACGAATTAAAAATGCTCGCTCTGTCCTGGGGGCAGAATACTTAAAAAATTATGTCCTGGGGAGAAAGTTCCAAGTAGCTACCGATCACAAAGCGCTAGTTTAAAACGGAAACTCTAAAAAAAGGCTGCTTAGATAGATTAATTCCAATTGATTTCGAAGTTCAACATCTGGCAGGTGCGAAAGTCGGTCTAATTCCAATTGATTTCGAAGTTCAACATCAGGCAGGTGCGAAAGTCGGTCTAACGGACTATCTCTCCATAAACCCAATCAGTGAGGCAAAACATGTACCGATTTACGGTAGTATGTTCACGATTGCAAAAGCTAATTCAATTCAAAGCACCATCGGATTCAAGAACATATTATCCAGGGGTTTGGAAACTGTAAGTCATAATAACATTAAAGTAAATAATCAAAAATTAGCGAAAAGAAATACGGAATGCAAATTCCGTAAGCAAATATGGCCGTCAGAGGGCGAGTTATCGTGTGATGACCAGTCTCCAATCAGCATCAGGGGAAAGAGGACGGAAGAGGTGACGAACGAGTCGGTAGTCATAGGTCACGAGTCCACAGAAGCAAATGCGACAAGTACAAACCATGAACAAAAAATGGCGGAAAACGGCAAAGCGACAGGGCGAGTACGGTAAAAGAAAAGGCACACCAGAAATTGAACGGAAACGTAGCGGAAGATTATGAAATGAAAAATCCGCAGGAAGTTCCTAGGTTGGCACAGCAGCAATGAAACGAAAAAAAGGCGGCGAAAAAGGAGAGAATCGGGAAGCGATACGGGGTCGAGGCGCAGTGGCCGAAAACGAACTGCAGTGACAAATATTAGGGCTGTGAGAATATGGTTTTGACGTATTGTATCATATAAACCCCTGTCACTGTTATGTTTGAATTAAAACGGGGCTAATTGTTCCAGACAGCTCCCTTTTTCACAGCTTGAGGGAACTTGAGAGAAAAGAACAGACAGCGTCATAAGAAGATCTACGCAGTCCCTGGCCTTTCTTTGATTCTCATTACCTTAAACACGGGAAGAATTTGCTCCTTTTTTTGGAACAGCTACATGTTCCCGCTTGAAGAAAAAGTATGAGCAGTCGAAGCGAAAGTTAATAAGTGCTGTTGTCCAAAGCACGAGAACGGCCACTCCCGATATCTATGAGGATCTCCGGATGCCGGTGAACATAGCGTAATCAAAGCATAGCGTAATTTCATCTCGAGAAGCGAGAGATGCAATCCAGTGGGCTTCAACCAGTGGTCCACTCCTTACAACTGCAACAATTCAGCGAAAGGGAACTAAAGTCACTACGAGTGATGCTATCCCATCAAGTCCACCTTAGTGGTTTTTTTGCAGATACTGGCACAGACAAGGAAGATAACGCAGGGACGCCGCCAGGTGAAGTCGCAAAGGGCGTGGGCGTTGGCAGTGGAACTTCACAAGGAAACGAACGAGCAGTAATTGTTGAAAGACTGATGGAACTGCTTCTTCTTCGATGAGAGCCACATGAGTTAGAGTGCTCGTTATCTGCAAAAAACCGATGACCACGAAATTGCTGCTACCACCACTCCTTAGTTTGGTCCTTTAATGAACTCACCCGGAGACTTGTGTTAGATTATTTAAAACTAAATTGAAACAGATTTTTTAAGGTTTTTTGTTACGGATAACGGTGTTTTTATGGATCAAGTGGTGCACAGCACAGCTCTCAATAAAGGATTTCGGTATTTGAACTAAACCAGAAAGTGGATAGGACTAAGGCATCAGGTAACAAGGTGTAAAGTCCAGAACCCGATAAGCCGAAACCAGCAAGTTGTAAAATTCAGTACCCGATAAACCGACACAAAAGGACACTTGAAATTTTTCATAGAGACAGGATAAATCGTTAAAAAGTTTAGATGATAGCGCACAAAGAAACTTAAAGGATGTGAGTTTGCCGCAGTCTGTGCGGGAAGTCTTGGGATTTGGAACAAAACATCCTATACGAGATAATGTTAACGAAATTCAATTCCTTGTAGAAATTGATAGAGAATTGTCCGAGCTGAAGTTGAATCAAAAAGTTGGAGAAAAACTATGCGAGAAAGAAGCAGCTGCAAAGATGTATACAAAGACAGGAGAGTAGAAAGGGCCAGAAATTGTTTGAAAAACAACAGTTTTCCGGCAGAACTGTAAGACGACAAGAAGGTAGGTTTTGGTGCTCTGAAAAAGAAGACATACGAGAAAAAAAATGATTTTTTGTAGGCCAAACAATTTAGTGAGAGGACGTATCTGACAGACAGTTTTGTCAAAAAAAAAGAAAAAAAAGACAACAACGACTGAACAACTGCCATGAAAAAGAATTGCGATATCATTGAGTCGCTGTATACTGGGTTATGATCACTACTGTTTTGAGCGAGGAAGCTGTTGAAGTAGCCATCGGGAGATTGTATGAGTCAGCCAAACCTCCGAAACTATCTCGCAAATTTATGAAAAAGTACTAATTTTGGCTGTTAGGTTTATTTTATATGCAACGGTTTCTTGTTTGTACAAAAAGGTGGTTTAGGAAAAGGTGTCTCCCTAGCAACAATACTAATCATTTTGTGGCTCAAAGAGAACGAACGTGCCTTAATGGAAGAATTACCAAAAATGACGTTACTAAATGAGGATAATATCGGAGTCTGCCCTGGATTCCAAAAAAATGACATATGGAACTGAAAGGGTAGAATGCGCAGCCTGCTTGAAATGGTTCTATTTGGGGCGTGGTAACATATCGAAAATGTTTTTAAAGATTTTGTAGTTTGTTAGTTTGAGCCTGTTTATTGTGATAAACTTATAGATAGGATATGATTGATGTTTGTGCCTGTTTGTCGAGCGCCCTTTGAGTGGTCCGAGGAGGCGCCGCTGGGCCTTTTGAGCTCGGTGAAATTGTTCCTTATCTGCGAGCTTTAAAGATTTGTTATTTTTCTTTTAAAACATGTTTATTTTTTCTCCATCCATAAAATTCGGGCGCGCCGTCAACATAGAAACAACAATAATTGTACCACCAAAATGATTAAAACCTGCAAGTTTTTTAAATTGGATTGGAAATGATCCTAAATGGTACGATGGTTTCAAGAAGTTCTTATGTGTGTTAATGTGAAATTTACCAACAATTTTCAATTGTTAGTGTCTTAAGTCTAGATTATTTTGTAAATACACCAAATTCTGGTGTTCAAGTACTCAAGAGGGTACCTATGGTCTCGGTTCTTTTTTTGACAAAATGTCTCTTGGATAAAAAGAATGATATTTTTTACACTAAAGAAAATGAAAATGTTACAATTTAGCTGGTTTTTTGTGTATCTTTTGTTTTTTCTTGAACAACTCAAAAAAAGTGGTCGTAAATAGCTATGCGCACAAACAAAAAAATAAGAAGCAATTTTTTTTCACTGCTTAAACCCGGTACCCATTGTTTTAGCGCTCCCCGGGCGGATCCCGAGCAGAGAATACAAATGATAGGCGGCAAATTTGATGAGGGAAATATATATACATCTCCCCATTTTTAATAGATGGTTTTGCGAGCGATTGCCAATGGCAACATGCTCAGCGCCAACGCGTCGAATTGCGCGCGAACCAAGGTTCTGGCAGATTGACAAAATATTTATAGGCGTTTTTAGATAGGATGTATTTCTCTTTAGTGTTAGTATCTGATGGACCCTTAACCTCATCTCGGGTCAATTGTTTTATAGTTTTTTCAACTCGTGTTTATTCTGTGTAGAAGTTAGTTTTTTCAATATGGTTGGCCTGATTCCCAACCATCTGACTATCTTTACTTCTATCCACGTTACTTGCTCTTCCATACCTATAACAAGCCTTAGATTGTGACTGCAATATTGGATTCTTGGCTATAACCTCGGTTACTTTGAAACATTTTTTGTTAGCCTAAGTGTTGTAATAAACTTATTAAATAGACGCTCATGGTACGCTTGAAAGGAGAAGGCCTAGGCCTGAACTCTAGAGACAAATCGAACGAGCCGCGATACTCCCTTTGTACCTGGACACTCCTGCTGGAACCTCCACCAGTGAAAAATCAGTTTGTAATCGCTTTCATTTCTTTTTGTTATTTGTTTTTAAAATCAATTTTTTTACAGTTCATTTGAAAATCTATTCTTTCATTTGTTTTGCCTCTTTTGTACCTTGCTTAGTGAATGTCCGTGTTGAAGTACAGGCCGTAATGGCTTACCAAGTGTGAGCACGCAACTGGTAATAGGAACCTCAAGGGTTAAAAATTGCAGCCCCAAAGATGTCGGAGCCACAGTTTACTCGTACAGAGTGCAAAGCTAGCCGACCTTGCCGCTAGTGTCTCACGCAATCCCTCGCAAAAATTGAACTTTATTATCACAGTAGCCGGCTTTAACGATAACACAATCAACTACGGTTTCAGACTTTGCTAATATTTGGAGGTTTTTAATAAATTTGATAAAACATAATTTTAACCCAATTATCCTCATAAAAACCATCCTATCTGCAAGTAATCAATTTATAAGTAGAAACTTTGGTGTTCTAAATAAAACCTTGTTTCGCCATACAATTACATCTTATTACTCAAGAATCTGAATTGTTTTCCCCAATCTACACGTTAATTTTTTTTGCTACTATGTTTTTTTAAAAAAAAGGCATTCGTTTTTCTTTCTAAGCTAAATTTTTTTTCAGTTTATTGCTCGCTCTGCTAACTTGTATACATACATCATAAATTTAACCTCCTTCCTGCCATTTTTGGCCGATCAAATGCACTGCCAATTTTACAAATCCACCTCTGAAAAGGAGCCATATGGTGTGTAAATTACAAAACATAATGCAGGTCGCACATGGCGGGCTATAGAGCAGCAATTTTTGAGGATATGATCTCCTGCATACAATGCAACCCCGAGAGTTTTGCAAAAGGGTCCAGCTCCACCAAAAGACCAACAAGCACAGCCTCATCACAACTCAAGAAGAAACATCACCGGCAATACCCAAAACAACTGTACTGCCCAACGCAACACAACCTAATCCGTCGCTCCCAGCAGTCACTATAGTCTCCACTTACCAAGAAACTCATCGTTCAAGAACTTGAATTTAAAATAAACGACACAAAATGTCGTAACCTGGAAAACCCGCTTCAAAGTTCTGTAGGTAAACGGAAGTTTCCTTTTCATTACATTGTAAAGATCATAACTTGAAATAGTTTGGCAAAGGTCAATGCTAATTTATGATGTCTGAGAACTTTCAACGCATAAATTCAGCTTGACAATCATGCAAACGCCTTGACAGGTGTGAAACAACTTGACTCTAAATAGTCTCAGATACAGCTGACAAAAAATGCAAAATCCGTAATCTGGGTACAATCAAAATTTACCCAGATTAAGGATAGAAACGGGGCAACCCGGGAACATCATAAACTTTGAATAATCGAACAAATCACTTGGTGAATAAATCCTTCCTTGATAAACTTTTTCAATACTATTTTTCTGTAATTATCCCATAAATCTGCAAGATCGGATGTTAAAACATTTATGGATAAATCGAGTTTTCGTTTTAACTTTTACCCAAACCTAGTTCTATTCCGAGAAAGCACTTGTCAGATCCTACAAAAGTGACAGAGAATCCAACAAGAGCCATGGACAACGAGTGAGTTTTTTAAAAAAAGTTTCAAAAGTAGTCAAGCATGTCAGAAAAATAATTGAAATCAGATAAAACGTTAAAACACGTTGAAACCACATTTAATTGAGAAAATCAGGAAAACTGGACAATGAATCGATCAATCTAATTTTTTTCTTATGCTGATTTGGGTTAATAATTGCCAATTAATCTTTTAAAACAAGAAGTAATTGGACTGATTTCAACGGAAGTTTGATGAAAATCAAGCTAAGAAACAAAAATTTTGAGATAAAAACAGATAAACAGAAGTTGGAGGGTATAAAAGGTCATTTTAAGCTGAAATCAACGGTTAAGACCTAGAAAAACTCCAACTACAATGATAATTTGATGAATAAGGAAATAGGGTGAGAAATAATCATGGCATTGGCATGTTCGGTATCCAATATGTTATTGGCGGGGGCATTCACCCTTAATAACGATTTTGAAAGCTACTTAACACAATTTGAGCTATTAGCCGAACTGCAAAACTGGAAACGTACTCTAGGTGGAACCGAAACTGATGAAAGGCTGCATTATTTCGCGTTAAAATTGCAGAAGTCTGCAATCGAAATTTACCGTACCCTCCCAGAAGCTACTAGAAATAGCTATGATGAGACCCTTGAAGCTCTTTGAAGACAAAGTGGCAAAAAGCCGGTGTAGCGATCAGGAAAAAGACGGTCTAGTGTGTCGCGTACAGCAGACAGGTTAAAAGTTAACGGATTTGTTGGGGAATTTACAGCAATTAGCGCTGAAGTTGTACCCACGCGAGTCCCAGGACAAACGGGATCACTAAGTCCTTCAAAGTTTTCTAGACGGGATCACCACAACCAATTTAGACTCAAACTCCGCAAGACAATTGAGGGAAAAAACATTAAAAAAACATAACCTTTGCGAATGCTTTAGAGTGGGCACTTCCACTGGAAGACGTAGTTAGAATTGAGGAAGAATAACAAACGCCACGAATAGCAACCATAAGGAGGGATGAAACAGAAAACCTAATATAATCTGTGAACAGACTAGCTCAATAGATGTTGGCTGGCAATGAAAATAATGCCCGGAGCAGTGAAAGTTGAGGAGATAACAGCCACTCGGGTTTTTGCCTACTAATAAAAAAAGTTGGTCTCAGTCCTAATTAATGGCGAACTAACCATTGTGATCTTGCATGCACAAGTAAAAATTGCAAGTACCAGAAGTGTAATGGCTTTTGTGGACCCATCAAGAATGGCGCAAAAGAAAGAGTGGGTGAACAGGAATTTTGAATTTGATTCGGTAACGTACAGAAACCGTGAGAAAACAACTGAAGGACCAGTTTTTTCATTATTAAAATTTTCAACCTCAAGTAGCGTTTTGCTCTTGGCAACAAAGAATAGTAATCACTTATCAGGCCCAGAGGCCTTTTGCTGTTGAAGTTCAACCAAAATTCAGGGATTAATAGTGCAAAAAAACGATACACCTTTCTGTGTTTTTCACAGCTGAGGATACCACATTTCGGCAAAGAGTTCATTGGGCAAAAAAACTGCCGTAAATGTTTTAGTTGTGGAAGTTTTACCCATATAAAGCGAATATGCCCTTGGAATAACAGAACGGAAAAATCAACTTAATCAGGGTGTGCTCCGCTAACAAAACGAATTGTTTCAGTGTGGAGTTGCAATTGAACGGCAAGTTGGTAACAGGAATGTTGGACAGCGGGAGTAGCATTTCGCTCATAAGTTTCGACACATGAAACGAACGGCTTGGAAAGCCGTTAAGCATAAAGGCTTTTAATAATAAAGTGTTTGCAGCTAATAATTTGCCGTTGAAAAGTTAGCAGTGTCGACATCAACATCCAAATTAAACCAAGATCTGGAGAAATTGCCCGAGATTTTTTAATAACAGCGAATAAGTGCTTACCCTGCCTTCTTGGTTTGGATTTTATGATAGATCAAGGTTGTATTCTATAAATTCGCAAACAATTGCTATACAGTACGAAACATCGGACAGCGCTACCTATATCAGAACAAACAACGACCGTTGTCCGAATTTTCGCAATAGCACAGAGTAATCAAAGAACCCTAAGCAGACATCAAAAACTGAAAAACTAGTACAAATCGTCATAAAGGATAAAAACAGTACCCTCTTCGGCAGCCCAGAAGGTTTAATCGAAGGCATACAAGAATTCAAAGAAAACAAGAAAGAAACAGATGAACAAGAAAACTAATTTGTGGTTCTGGAGTTCTCTAACTCCAACTCAAAATGAGAAACTCCTAGTAGGTCTACCCCGGAAAGAGTAGCCGTTACTTCAGAAAGTATGAACTGCGATCAGCTCAGCACTCTCACTCTCACTCTCAAAGAACAGATCACCATATCAGCGTTTACAGAGGCTCACCGATGAACCAAGGAGAATTGTAGGAAGCAGAACCGCCCCCAAAAAAATTGCTATGATGAAAAGCAACAACAAAATCAGAACCTAAAGCAACTAGTACTGTAAATGATGTTAATAATGAATCACTGAATGGAACCGGAGGTAATAAACGGTACATTACAAGGAAACGAGTGAACGGTCAGCGCCTAAACGTTTTGGGGAATATTTGTTCTATAAGCATCACGATGATGATCATGATGATGACAATAGTGAAATTTTTGCTTAGGTAATTGATTCAACAAAACAAAATACATATCCTCATCGTGGAAATTAAGAAAGCGCTTTTTGGTGAGTTAATCATCATTTTTTTAAGCTTAGGAAAACTAGCTGGCAAAATTTTAATTGCATATGTCTTTTGAAATCATTATTAGGACT